GCTTCATCTTTCAAAATAAATGTAAAGACAGTAAATACTGTCATTAGTTTTACCATCAGTTCAAGCCCGAAAGGGGAACAGACACAGTAATGATGCAGTACACAAGCCGCGGTTAAGACAGCTGACTCTATTGTGATGTGACGCTGTCTCTCTCTCTCTCTCACACACACACGCGCGCGTGCGCGCACACACACACACACGATGCGCAAAACTCCGCATTTGAACAGTCAATAGCAAATACTTAAACTAGTAACAAAACATACTTACAGTGGCTGATTCAGAAGCGCCAGATTGTCATAGCAAATTCAGAATTACCTCCTCTCCTAGGTTCATGAACTGGTCGTCCATAAAATGCATTGCTGTTCTGTTGTAAGTAATCTTAAAGATTCCTAAATGCATCTACTTTCGGAAATAAAATGCTTTTGCTTTCACCTAGAAACACACCGTCTCCCTGACATGGCTGCTTCAACACTAACTGCGGTTACTAAAACCACGCCTTCTTTCTTTGCGTGCACATTTGGACGCATTATGCAAATATTTCCACATAGTGACCTAGATATGTGGGGGCGTGTTAGAACGAGCGGTTTTAGGGGGGCGTGGCAGAGTCTTAACTTTGATAAAGAATATCTCTTTGGTTTTGAGACTTTAGTCTTTGCAACTTCAGGGATCTTATCTATTCACGAACAGCTTGTAACACTCCAAAGAGAAAGGAAAACTTGAAATCGCATCATATGACCCCTTTAAGGCGATTCAGAATTGACTCTCTCTTTTGAGAGACAATATCTTTATTTATCATGCACTTTTTGAATAACAACTTTGCAGATTGTTTTCATTTAAGGATAGCCACGTTATAAACTGCAAAAGAGATATTTTTCAAAAACCCATATGACCTGCTCTTTAAACAAATGCAAAAGTTGAAAAATAGGAAATTATTATTATTATTATATTTTGTAAATAATTAAAAAACAAAACCTATAAAATCACCATCAATTATAAATACAATTTAATTTTTTTTATTATACTGTATATTTTAATTTCTTTGAATATGTACATCAGGAAGGTCTGAAATGACTCTCTTCCTCCCTCTTGCTTTCAGTAAAATGTAATAAAAGACATATAACCTGCTCCAATTTTGAAGTATTAAATTTATTGAAGGAAATGTAGAAGTGTGAAAAATGTAACATGGCCAATTTAAAGTGCTGCACTGCTTCAAGTTACAGTACTACTGTAAGCTCTTTGAGCTTTAACAAGCTAGTCTTCATTTAAATATAGAGCGGAGGTGAGCCTTTATGCCTGATTAATGCTCTGCAGTCGTGACATTTTTCTCCTCACCAGGTTTGCAGCTCCTCTGTCTGGCTATTATTTGAAAGACTCAACGAAATAGCCTGGCTTTATCCTTTGGTCACACTGTATGAACACTTGTTTTGCATATTTGAGGTGTTGTGTTGTAATGAGCATGTTAGAAAATGGGCTGAGTGCCTTAATTGTTGACAGAGATGTTAACAATTCCTCTCTTTTTTTTACAGGTATGTATCATGAATATACTAACAGTGTAAGTGTAATTATGAAAAAAAAACTGCCAGATTGCCAAGGTAACGCCTAGGCCCTAGGGGGAAATTATTCATAAGGGAAAAGGACTGTGGAGTTAACTGAGCTTTTATTTGCATTGGAAGTGTTTGTAACATGGCAAAATCCATCTAGATGAAGACAAACTTAACATCAGCAAATTCAACAGCACATTGTTTGTGGATGTCATAACTGCTATTTTGTTCTGTCATTATACCAGGTGTCTATACTCTTTAAAAATGCAGGGTAAAAACAAGCCAATTTGGGTAGTTTTTAAACACAGTGTTGAGTAAATAATAGACCGGAGACATGCTGTGTTAATCTTATCTGACAAGTTGGGGTGCTCGTTTACCCAGCAGGCTGGGTTACACATTTAACTGTTTCACATTTACACATTCACGTTACGCTGCTGCGAGAAGAACTTAGGAGACACGGAGTAGCATTCACAGTCTTTAATGATGAAAACACGGGGTAATCCACAATAGGAGCTGGGCAAACACACGTAGAAACAAGTAGAACCAACAAATACAAACTGAACAGACTGGGGCTTATAAGGACTGGATAATGAGGGACAGACAGGTGAGGGGAATCAATTAATAATCAAACTGAACAAGGACAGGAACAAGACCAAATAAGGAAACACAGGAAGGACTACGGGGGCAAAACAGGTCCAAAAGTCTGACAGATGGTAGCTCATTGATTTAACTTCATAAAATGGTTATTATTTTAATCTTTATATAACTCTAGAAATAAATTGATTAATACTGAACTTGAATAGGCTGTTTTTGCAGTCACAAAATAATTAAATCATATATAGATGACTCAGAAAATGCAGATAAAATTAGCAGTTTGGCTCTTGAAAATCAAATTCATTCAAATCCAGAAATAATAATAATGTCTGTGAAAAGATAACCATGGAGTCAATATGTTATAGACAGTGCTGTATTATTAAAACAATAGCAATAAATTATTCATAATTTATTGATTCTTCCTAATTGTTTTTCTTTAAACTCACAAACCCCCCTGCAGTTCCTTCACGAACCCCAGTTTGAGAAACCTTGATGTAATGTTTAATGCACTTCATGTTGTTAATAATAATGAATGGAAACTGTTTTCTTTCTCTTTGTATTTTTATATCAATATTGTGCAAGATTATCCTATTTAAATCAATGCGATGAACGTGTTAGGTCACAAGTAATCTAAAAGTAATCTGATTATATTACCTAAAATGTGTAACGTAATGGATTACGTTACTGACTACAATTTTTGTCATATAATTTGGAATCAGTAACAGACTACAATTTGCGAGTAATCTACCCAGCACTGGTTATAGACCAGCAAATATGTGCTTAAGCCAAGTTCAATATATGAAAACATAAGCTAATATTCACCTTTATGTTGTATCATCTCCTCTGTCAGACATCGGAGATCACCTCCATTATGATCAACAAAGCTGTGTATATGCTAACTGTGCGCATTGACAGCTTTGTTTAATATAACAGGGGCCATCTTGTATGGTCACATCTCTTCACTCGCTCTGACACAGTGAATGTTTGTGTAAACCCAGCAACCCTAGCAAATTAAATTAGTTCTAAGTGAAGCTATACAAAAAACTGTATATTTTGCTGCAGATAAGCCAGGCGTATTTAACCCAGAGGTTTTTAAAGCACACAGACACAAAGCCCTCGTTCTCGCAGAGCACTTCACACTTACATTTCTCTATGTAAACTTCTCAAAAGGCATAAATACACTTGAAATGTTTTCTATAAGCGAATCATTTTTATTTTCAGATCAAGCTGTTAACATGCAGATAAGTAAGTACAGTAAGTAATCTGACATGGAAATTATAATTTGTCTGTATGTAATTTGCATCGCTGCAATTACAATATTTACTCTAATGTGAGGTTTTAGCAGCTGCAGTATACACAAAACATCTGCCCAGAAATGATCCTTCAAAGATCTACAGAGGTCACACTTAGCTCGTCTGAATTTTCAAGAAATAAAGTCAATTATAAAGGCAACACGCTTCTCATTTAATGGCCAGTGTCACCAGCAGGCACAAAACAGGTGTCATATATTTGATCATGATTATGATGCATTAGCAAGTGTCAGATTAAGCGTTGCTATTTTTCACTATCAGAAATACGGCTTTATGTCAGAGTTATAAATCTCTTCGATTGTACAGTGGAATGGTCACCTTCCAGGGTATAGAAAAAAAAGATGCTGGGATGAGCTGTTTTGAATCTTAAAGCAGCCAAGGACACTAATGTCACCTGAAACACAGGCTTATGAATAGCAATGAATCCTTTACGTCATGCTGTGTGGGTATTAAGAATGACTGTACTGATCTGAATGAGTAAGAAGCAGAGGCTAAATGGAGGGAAGAGAAAAAGACCTGATGAATGAGAAATACTGAAACAAAGGGCTTGTAGATGATTGATCTAAAACTACCAACAGATGTTCAGAGAAAATTTAGGCTGGAAAGGGAAGTGAAATCTGTGATGCCTCAGTCCTTTCAGAAGTTCCTCTATTTATGCTAAATATTATGTTGCAAAGTTTTACCATATTTACCCACATTTTCTTGTTCTTTCAGGAGAGCGGCTCCGTCTACTTGCAGTTCTTGTGCTCCACTGGCCTGCAGCTGGAGGTCATTTTCGAAGTTCTGGAGGAGTTTGATTGGACGGCTTTCTCTGTGGTTACCACACGCCACCACGGCTATGAGGACTTCCTGGCCATGGTAGAAGGCATGATAGATGGCTCCTTCATCGGCTGGGAGAGAAAGAGCGTAGTGATGCTCAACCTGACTGATGACCCGGGAGGGGCTCGTACACGCAGGCTGCTGAAAGAGAACGAAGCACAGGTCAGGAGTGAGAATATGAATGCATTTGATTCCGAAAGTCTGAAACCACTAGAAAAAATGCTTCTATCTTGTGTGCTTTTGCAATTTAATACATTTCACTGACAAATTTATTATCAGCACAAATATTTTAATGAACATTTTAGTTTAAAAATAAACATATCAGAATAGTATTTGGTTTGTCTCTCTTTTGCTTTAATGACAGCAGCACTCAAGCAGCTGCTTGAACTCAACAAGTTTGTATAAAAGCTGATGATCATGTTCTCCAGCATGATCTGAGAATGATCAAAGAGCATCTTGAGCATCAATAGAAAAAAGAACATGAGACTGTCTGTACAAAGGGATCACATGATCAGTGTTACAAATTACATATTATATACAAGTTACATATTATAAATTTTTATTTATTTATTTATTTCACTTTTTAAATCCTAAAATGGTTCATTTCCAGATTCAAATCACAGATTTTCTGACATTTTGACATTCATTCATTCATTCATTCATTCATTCATTCAAATCAAATCAAATCTGAAAATCAAATTTTCTTGTACATCATTTTATGTATTTTTTATTTAAATCATTAAATGTTGTTTATTTCTAGGTTCAAAGCCTAGAAATCTTTAATATGTGACCTGTGCTGGCAAAATTAGTCGGAATGAGCAAATTTTCAAAAATGAGTTCTCTTCATTTTCACATTCTACATTAAAATACCTTCAAAATAATATATAACTTTGTTGGAATTGGACAAAAAATGACTGAGCTACAGCCATTTGAAATCGATAGAGTCAGCAAAGTCAATTTTGAGAAAAATCGAATTAAAGTTTTCTGAAGGTTCCAAAGCAAAATCACCAAGCAACGTTGCATATTTTTTTTCTTAATTTCTTTTTCTTAAAAATAATTACTATATTATTAATCACAATATAGCTGTTTTTTATTTTATCTTTGTTATTAAAAATAAGAACAAAGATGCAAACTAACTGTAGTTTAATCAAGAGCAGCGAACGATTCCGTCTTTTCTTTTAATGTTTGATTAACATCAAGACAGATCAATATTGTGACCTACTGTAATGCATGGATCTAATATAATGTTACACATCAGATCTTTCTCCAACCATTAACTAAACGTTCATGTAAGACATAACAGATTATGTTTGTGTGAATCTCGCCAAGACATATTTCGCAATATTTCGCTCTCGGAGAGGCGAGTCTTATGCATGCGCTTTGCAATTGTCATGCAACGTCAGTCAGCACAATCGTTTTGTTTTCATCAGCATGGGTTTGAAAATCATATTTTACTAGTTTAGACTCTTGTCATACAGAATTTGCTATGAATATTCATAAAGCGGGAATGCTGTGCTTTGCAACGATATATCTTACAACTTGTGGTGAGATGCAGCAGCAGTCATCCAGAAGTGAGAAGAGAAAAAGGTACTCCTCTCCATTTTTCACTTCTTTTGCCTGTAGCTCAATATTAGACTGTGCACATTCCGACTCATTTTGCCAGCACGGGTCACATATGATCTGATGTTTATATCCCACTTTTTTTTTTTTAAGTCATTTTACGTATTTTATTTAAATCTCAAAATGATTATTTTCAGGTTTAAATCACAGGCTTTTAATGAGATCCTATTCTTATCTTATTGTAATTGTCGTAACATTAGTATTATCTTATCGTGATCGATTTAGAGAGAGAGACTGTTTTTCATTTATTATTGGGACAACTCACATTTAAAAGCCAAAAACTCGGTAATTCCAAAGTTTTCACAAATAACATATCTTGTTTAATCTGTTCATTTTTTCAAATCTTCATATAAATCAATCCATTTTGTGAACTGCACTGGAAGCTCTTTCTCTCAATAGTGATTGTCCAGTTCATTCTCTTCCACTGTTTAATTTCCTTTCATTGAACTATCGTTCCCACTCCACCAGCTCCTATTTAATTTTTTTCCCTTTTTAATTCAAAGTGGCTTCTCTGCTAGCACAATTAACAACTGTATTACCAAATGAGTCTTGGTTAATTATAGAAGTATGTATATGACAGCAAAAAGACAAAAGACAGCTCTAATGCCCCAGAGCAATTATTCCAGAGCACTCCAAAATCAGCAACATAAGGTAAAGCTCCTCATGCGTTGTATAAGTCACTTCCTCCATATTCCCAGCTTCATTTCTCGATTAACCTTCTCTCTCATCGCTCAGGTATCCGTTCCACTCTTTCTTTTTCTTCTCTCTCTCTCTCACTCTCCTGCATTCTTTGGCCTTTACGTGAAGGCTCCCAAAGAGAAGGAGGTTGCATGACCTACGAAAGGGGAGATGGCATCCGTAATGTTACTGAGCAGCGTGACATTAAATGACAGTTTCCATCTGACCCAAAGGTGGCCAACTCAATTCCCCACAGGACTGGCCATGCCAGCAGACATACTCGACGTTCAACAACTTGACTGATTAATTCTCCACAGTGTCCAAGCACCCAGACTTTCAGCCCCTAATCAGTGACTGATACAGGAGCACATTCAGAGTGCCTGTCACAGTTCCCGCATGGAAAAGAATGGAGAAAAAATTGGGGTCAGCTTGATGCAATGTGATAGGAACTTTTTAGTTTTTTCTCGCAGTTATTAAACGTCAGTTCGGTTTTTGTAAGGGCCCAACAGACACATGCTACATGAAAGTGCAGATGTTATCGACAAGCTTTGTTATAAATGTAAAAACTCTGCCTCCAGTGATTTGCTTTGAAACATAAGCTTACTTGCTTTATTTTATTTTAAAAAGCTTTACCAAAAAGACCAGCATGCTGAAAAATTGTAAATGTAAACTGCTCCATTATCAAAACTGCTATCAGAATAAATAATTCATTCCTCCTTCACATGTTTTAACCCTCAGAGACCTAGCGTGGAAGAATAGGAACAGTTGTATAAAGCAATGAATTAATAAAACAATTCTGCTAAATGTGGGTAAAAACAACACATAACAGTAGCCAATTCTCTAAAAATGTAGAAAAATTGCATATTAACGCTGAAGTCAAAGTCAGCTGACGCAATTCTTAGTGATATTCTAGTGGTGGGAAAATGCTTACATGCCCTGAAATTTTGAACATATTTTTAGTAAAAATTGCTATAACCATATAATTTAATTAAGAGGTATAAATAAATACATTATATTTAAAATGTGCTTTTATATTAATAATTATTGCAGTGTTTAAATGGTCAAATAATGAAATATATTAACTTTTCATCACTTTATTTTTTTTCCCCCAAAAATACAAAGCTTTCACTTAGTGTTTAAAAAACTGTGGTAAAATTTTATTTTGCACATCTTTTAAATTATACCCCAATGCAAAATGTATAAACAAAGTGTTTTCTTTTTTTAATTAATAAAAGCTTTCTAAAGACATGTTAAAGGGTTAAATATCACATCATGAATATCAATACTTGGGCCTCTGAGGTTAAAATGGGAATGAACGGAACCATCTACAGTGCCAACAACATGTCAAAGTTTGCATTGTCATCAACTGCAAGTGTCAAAAATGTTAGATGTTTATATTTAAGGATTTTCATTCATTTTTGCCCATTTATTTCGCTTTTTTGCACAAAACAAAAAAATAATAATAATAAAAATGAAGACCCATGGCCACAGAAAAAACATCTGGGGGTGTAGTCCAGTATCCAGAGCGTAGTCTTGCCCCTGCTGGAAGATCTATTGATTCCACACTTCTACTTTCACTACAGTTGTTAACTGTAGGAATTGTTGGAGGAGTGCAAGTCACCAGTCAACAACCCTCAAGAGTAGTTTTATCTCCCTGTCAGGAGCCTGTGGCTACATGTCGACAAGTGGGATAAACGACCCATCTCCATCAAGAAAAACAACACTCCTGCACATCAAAGTCATTTTAAGATGACTGACTTCTCTGACCTTTTTCTGAAACATGTGAAGAAAAAGCCCTCGTACACTATTTCCCTGGTTTGAGGTTTATAAAAACACCCTTGGTCAAGCAAAGGATATTGAAGAACATGAGTTAGTACATGTATAACAAGCTGACTGGATCACTCTGTTCCGATAGGAAAATCTCTGAAATCATAGAAGTATCATGAGGAGCCAGGAAGAGCTTATTGAGCTTGATGATTGTAATATGTTTTGTTATTTTGTTATTTTTTTTGGTGTCTCTTAAAGTCAGCATATTCATTTTCTAGTTTTTTTAAATATTCTTTGCATGACCAAAGAAAAAAAAGACCAAAGATATTTTTGAAAAGATTTTTTTCTTCGCAGTAATTTACACCAATGGTCATCGTGCACAATAAAATCATGAATGAGTAAATACATTTTGATTTTATGTCGACTTTAAAATGAAAAAGTGGTTCCTTTGAATACTTAATCCTTTCTTGCTCTGCCACTCTTTACAGGTGCGACTCCTATATTGCTCACAGGAAGAGGCGGAGCACATTTTTAAGGCTGCATGGGCATCCGGGCAGGCTACTCCTTCACATATGTGGTTTGCGGTGGGCCCGGCTCTGTCTGGACTTGGTCTTGAGGGTCTACCCAAGGCTCTTTTCTCTGTGCGACCCCAGGGATGGAGGGACGAGCCACGACGGCGAATTGCAAAGGGTGTGTCGGTATTGACGCACGGTGCTATGGCTTTACGTAGGGAGTATGGTGGGGCCCGAGGGACGAGCTTTGCTGGGAACTGCGTGATGGATGGAAATCAAACACAGAGGGTGCCGGATAGGATCAGGTGAGAAAATCTACTTGATAGCTGATAAATTCATGGCATCCCTGTCTCATCCAAAAACGAATAGAAAGAAGAACAATATACACTACTGTTCAAAAGTAAAAACAGTAATATTGTGAAATATTGTGAATATTTTGCAATATTAAAAATAATAATTGTCTATTTTAATATATTTTAAAACATGGTTTATTCCTGTGATGGCAAATGCTGAATTTTCAGCATAATTACTCCAGTTTTCCATGTCACATGATCCTTCAGAAATAATTCTAAAATGCTGATTTGGTGTTAAAGAAACATTTATTATTATTATTGTTGAACAGTTGTGGTGCTTAATATTTTCGTGGAAACATTGATTCTAGCCTTTATTATCACTTTTGATCAATTTAATGTGCCCTTACTGAATAAGTTTTAATTTCTTTCAAAAAAAAAAAATTCTTACTGACCCCAAACTTTTGAAATGACCTCATTTTTTAAAGACCTCATAAAATCATTTGACGTGGTTCAAGTTTTTGTCCTTTTTTCAGGAGAGAAAGACTGTAAATAAATGCAAATATCCACTAAAAGTAAATTCTGTCAACGTTTTCAGTGAGTACACTTGCATATAAATGTTATTATTTTTGGATTATGTTTTACAAGAAAATACAATTTAATTCTTTCTACTTAAATTAGTTTAATTTAAAGGGGTCATATGATGTTGCTAAAAAGAACAT